TCGGCATGGAGTGCCGACGTCCATAGTGTCGGATCGGGATGTGCGTTTTACTTCCAGATTCTGGAAGAAGTTCCATGAGGAGTTGGGAACGCGATTGCATTTTAGTACCGCCTACCACCCACAGACAGACGGACAGAGCGAGCGAATGATTCAGACGCTCGAGGACATGCTTCGAGCATGTGTTATGGACTTCGGTGGGAGTTGGGACACATACCTACCCTTGGCTGAGTTTTCTTACAACAACAGCCATCACTCGAGCATTGGTATGCCTCCCTTTGAGCTCCTGTATGGGAGAAGGTGTCGTACCCCCATCTGTTGGGGAGAGGTGGGGCAGAGAGTTATGGGAAGCACTGAGATAGTGTTGAAGACGACTGAGCAGATTCAACAGGTCAGACAGAGGTTATTGACAGCCCAGAGTCGTCAGAAGAGTTATGCGGATAGGCGACGATCCGAGCTCGAGTTTCAGGTCGGAGATTTTGTACTCCTGAAAGTTTCCCCATGGAAAGGGGTGATCCGGTTCAGAAAACGGGGAAAGTTGGGACCCCGATACATCGGTCCTTTCAGAGTGACCGCCAGAGTGGGGAAGGTAGCTTACCGTTTGGAGCTGTCTGATGAGTTGAGTCATATACATAACACCTTCCACGTGTCCCAGTTGCGGAAGTGTGTGGCTGAAGAGACGCCAGTGGTACCACTAGAGGACATTTAGGTGGATGCGAGCCTGAATTACATCGAGAGGCCGATCGCGATCATAGATCGAAAAGTGAAGGTTTTGAGGAACAAAGAAGTGCCCCTGGTTCAGGTCCAGTGGCAACATCGGAAGGGGTCCAATCTGACTTGGGAGCCGGAGTCAGAGATGCGAGAGCAGTACCCGAGCTATTTGCGGAGCAAGACTTCGAGGGCGAAGTCTAATTCTAGTGGGGGAGAATTGTAACATCCGGTTTCCAGGTATGTTAATTTAAGCATTTATTTTAAGAAGTTTGGGTAGACTCGACGAGTTGGTGCCTCAACTCGTCGAGTGGGATCGCGACTTGGTGACGTGTTTAATGAATGGACTCGACGAGTCGGGTATCTGACTCGCCGAGTCAGCGCTGTTAAGGAAAACCCTAATTGCTCGGGCTTGTGGCCTATTTAAAGGCTCTTATGGCCTTCATTTGCGGCCACACTTTCCCTTGAGAGACCCTAATCGATCCAGAGAGCTTAAAGAGAGAGTGGGAGCTAATTTCTTCATTTTGGTGCATTCTTGCAAGAAAGAAGGAGAGGGTTCAAGCTTAGCTGTCTAGAAGGGGCTCAGATCTTTCACTATTTCATTCAAGGTTGCTGTAAAGGTATGAGTTCATACCCGTTTTCGTTTGATTAGTAGATCTCATAAATTTAGGGTTTCTTTACCCTCTTTTAAGTTGAGTTATGAGATATGTGAAATCCCTTTGAGGCTTAGACATCAGATCTGGACCTTGAGAGGTCCAGAGAGTCCCAAGAACCCAGCTTTATGCAGTCATATAAGAATATTGAGCTTAAGACACCATTATGAGGGTTATTTTGCCAAATGAAGCTAGATGAGTGATGCATGGTCATAAAGGTCGAACCTTTACGTGATTAATGAGCCTTTAGTGCATAGATCTGAAGTTTGGGAAAGTATCTTGCACTAAATCGACTGAATGCAAAAGAGTCTTAATAGACTCGCCGAGTCGAGCCGCTGACTCGGCGAGTAGTCCAGGGTTTTATCCCGATGAACTGAGTAAGATAGTGACCCGTCGAGTTAGGGGTTAGCTCGTCGAGTTGGAGCTTGCTGGGGTTGCCATGAATCGACTGGACTCGACTAGTCTCCCGAGTACACTCGACGAGTCTGGTCAAATTTGGACCGTTGACTGGGGTTGACTTCTGTTGACTTTAGGGTTTGGTCAAAATGAGTGAAAGAGGTCAGGGAAGGGTAGAATGGTCTTCTACCCACTTTTCAGAGATAAGAGTATAATATTAATTAGAAATATTAATTTGTGATAGGCGCAGGCTAGGCCGAGGATTTCGAGCACGAGACTTTTACTAGCTATCTTACGAGGTGAGTCTTCTCACTATACCTTACCTGGAGTGGTAGTTATGTGTGACCGGAAGGTCTTATGCGTTTATAAGTGTTATGTGATATATGTGATATGTATATGTTTGCATGGTTTGGACCGGAAGGTCAACAAGGTTTGGACCGTAAGGTCAACAGGGTTGGGACCGGAAGGTCAACCGAGCTAGGACCGGAAGGTCATCATGGGTAGGGCCGGAAGGTCTACCAGATGTGTGGGACCGGAGGGTCCCACTGAGACACATTGATCGGAAGGTCTCGTAGGGTTATAGCCTCGAGTGGCTAATTATATGTGCGTGGTATTTTGGGGAACTCACTAATCTTTCGTGCTTACCATGTTATGTGTTATGTGTTTCAGGTACCTCAGAGGATCACGGGAAGGCACCGGCGTGATTGTACACACACCCTTGTTATGGAGCTATGTTTGTGGATCTTGGATTTGAATAATTGTTTTGAAAACTTGTTGATTGATTTTGAGAATTAATGATGAGACATATGTTTAATGAGTATTAAAAATGAAAAATTTGGGTTGAAACTTTACGGTGTTACACACAATATGATCTTCCACCACCTTCTTCCTTCACAAGCAACAAACACACACATTTAAGGCTAAAAACTCACACAATGGATCTAGGGTTTGCAAAGGACGATTTGGAGAGATGGAGGCTGATGGGAGGGATGCTATGAGAGGTTAAGGAGTTTAAATAGGGGTTGCTCGACCCTTAAACTTTAGGGTTTTCTCCAACAAACGCCACCATGTCGTGGTATCCCTTTACCACGTTGTGGTGGTTCATTAACTCCCGCGGCCCAAAAGCCTATCGCCACGCCGTGGTGAGGCTTCACCATATCGTGGCCAAAAAAGAAATCATACACAATCTTAAATAATTTCATACTTGGAATCGAGTGTTACAATCATACTTTCATTCTCATTAGTGTTGATATCATCAAACAATGCCTCAACACTTGTACCACATGCATCATAAATTACAAATAATAATGTGGAAATTATATATATATATATATATATATGTATATATATATATATATATGATTGAATTATAACTTGTTAAATTACTATAACAGTTACGGTTAACTAAAAATATTAATTGAGTTTTTTTATTAATAAATAACTATATATATATATATATATATATATATATATATATATATATATATATATATATATATATATATATATAAGACTATAGAGAGTGGTCTTAGCAACCGATGGACAATGGTGACATGGACACAGCGAACGCCGGGTCGTTTACCCGGCATGCCTACCTCGGAAGGGTAAATCGTCAATGACACACCAACTTCTCTTCTTCTTCCTCTCGTCTTCCCTCTTTCTTCTCCCCCACTCGGCAGCCCAGACCCTCTCTCTCTCTCTCTCTCCCTTTCTTCCTTGCTATGGCTGAGGTGAAGCTCGACAGAAGCAAGATGACTCCCCCCCCCCCCCCCCCCCCCCCGGCCTAATGCATACATAGTGTTTGAATTGTTATTTTATACTTCACATATAATATATATTTTTTGTATTGGTTTTTATTAGTTTATATAGAATTTTATTTTTAATTATAATATAGTTAACATGTGATTTTATTTGAATAATAATAAATTTTTTTAAAAAAACTACATATTTTATAATACTTAAAATTATGACGTACAAATGTATGGAGTAAAATTTTGACATACAAATATATGTCATAAAATGTGTCAAATTCATGATGTAGTTGTAATTGTTTGTCAATATTTTTTTTAAATGTTAAAAGTTTATGATTTAGAAATGATCATTCATAAATATATGTCGTAATTGTCTGTCATAAATTTTAAATTTATTACGACTAATGTATGTAGTGTTTCATTTATGACAGTTTTTAATGACATATATTGAATGCCATCAATACTTTTTATTTCTTTCAACCAACTTGGACAAAATGGAAATGAAAAAAAAATCAAGGGAAGTATATACGGTATTATTATACGTATCTTTCATTCACGTAAATCGTCAAATAATAATAATTGGTGGTACACACATTATTCCACTCACAAGGGATACACGAAGCAATTTAGAGGTACATATAAAATTACCCAATATATATCGGTTGTTCCCTTTTCCCACTGAGAATTGGAGATTGAGACTATTGAACATATCTTTATTTATTGTACAATTGCCAAGAAGTTATGTCTTGCAGATCAATTTCTAGGATCCCCAATTGCTTAACAATCTTTGGATGCAGTCATTTCTTGTCATTTTCAGGTGTTGGAGAACCTTCTTTTTGCGACTACTAAGTAGACTATTTTTCATAATATGGTGATGCACTCTTTATTTTTTATATCTAATAGAATTTGGAAATGTAGACTCAGATTGGATAGCTTTGGCATATAAATCCAATTATCGCTCACTTGTAATTCTTTTTTTTTACTAGTTTTTGCTCGTCTTATAGTTTGAATAAAAATTCGCCTACAGTACATTCAAAAAGAAATAAAAAACAGAACTTTGAGATCGAGTGTAGTAGGTTTAAGTTTTTTAAGTTATAGTTGATCTTGTTGATGTGAAAACTACGTTCTGCATTTGGCGAAAGATGTTAACGAACACACAAAGAAAACTATAAAACTGAGAAAATGTTGCCAAAAGCTTCATAAACCAAAAAACATAGACAATACAAGTAAATTCCAAACAATCAAAATAAAGGCATTCAATCGTAGTTCTTTTTCCTTTCTTCTCGTCTCCTTTTCTTTAATTCATTACATTGAGTCTATTCTTAATTAGATACCAAGCACTCGCCCCCAGTGAGATAGTGAGAAATCAAAAGAAGCATCAAAAGATTTGAGAGAGATAGGACCCCACTAGAAATAATAGATGTGCAAGAATTATATTTTTTTTTAATTAGAATTTTTGAAGGAACTGTAATAAGAAAGGCATTCACCTCGTAGCTTAGAGCATCACAACATCTGGAACAATAACTGGGAACTTGTGAATACTATCTGCCCATGCCCCAGTTTTTGGAACTTCGATGTCTCTAATACACTTCCAGACTACACTGTTACACTTAAACCCACTCCCAAACCCTATTTGCCAAACCCTGTTACCTTTCTTCATCCTACCTTTAGCTTCTATGTAACCCATCTCGTACCATACCGATGATGATGATGTATTCCCAAACCTATACAACGTCATCCTTGACGCTTCCACATGTTCATCTGTCAACTTCAAACTCGATTGAACCTTATCGATTACTGCACGTCCTCCGGCATGGACACAGAAATGCTCGAAGGCCTTTGTGTAATCTGGAATGTATGGTTTCATGTTCATCTTAAAGAGTTTTCTCCCTACGAGGTTGAAAAGAAATATGGCTTGCTCCGACACAGGAAGAACCAAGACCCCCAGTCTGCTGATGTTTGATTTCAAGGAGTTAGCGGCAATTACCATGAGATCCTTGTCCAGGGCTACGCCAAGTTTTCCATCTTTGTCTTCTTTATGGGTGATACAACCATAAGATCTATCGTCAGCTCCTTTGTGTGTCCTGACAACATGTGAAAGACTATACTTTGCATGTTTACGTAGGGACCTTTTATTAGTCAAGAGGATCGCTGCACATCCCATTCTGAACAGAATATTTGGAACCAGCATCGATCTTACCTTACCCGTATAAGAATTTGGGGTAATGATTTCAGTGCTTATAACAATCGCATTTGATTCAGGATGCACCCGAAGAAGATTTTTAGCTAAATCAATCGAAATTAGGCTTGCACTACACCCCATCCCTGACAAGTTATAGCTTTTCACATCACTTCTCATCTTATACTTGTTAATCACCATAGATGAAATAGAAGGAGTGGGATTAAAGAGGCCGCAGTTTACTATTACAATGTCAATGTCTTGAGGGCTAATCCCCGTTTGCTCAAACAAAGAATCCATTGATGAGAAAATGACAAGTTCGGTTTCTTCTCTAGAACCGATCAAAGTTGGATTTGGTGGTATGTAATGTAATGGGTGGGGCAAGCTAGTTTCGGCACCCAACCCTGCCCGTTCGAAGACCTTCACTAGGAATTCAACGCCTTTTTGATGTGAGGCTAAGATGATGCGTCCATGTTCATATGCTGTAGCATGGGGTACCCTATACATTGCGGGAGGCTTGAAACAGGCAAAGTCAAGGAGATAGACGGGTTGAGACTTGTTCATGAAGTGAACGGTGAATATGGTGATGATTACTAGCAAGAAAGAGATGATGTACCATATGAATGAGAGATCATGTAGAGAGAGAAGATGCTTACTGAGGTAATCTTGACCTTGTTGAACTGCTTGAATGGAAATGGTAACGGTGACATATATGAGTAGGAGTGTGAGCATGTGATTAATGATATGTTTGTAGGCTCCTTTTGCAACCTTACTCATGCTGGATGTCTGGGATTCAAGATGAGGCTCAAATCCCTCTGACATCTTGGAGGAAGAAGAGGAGTGTGATTGTGTGGGGAACTTCTGCATATTACAAAAGTTGTCGACGGGTATCTATGGAGGTAGAGGGGACGAAGAAGGGGAAGGTGAAAATTTAAATGTGTAGTAGATGAAGAGATGTCAGAGTCGGGTGAGAAAAGATTAAATGAGGGGGCGTTTATGTCTTTAATAGCATTTATTTACTAGTAATCAATACTACACATGGTACTAGTTTTGCACCTATCCATAGTCTACTTGTATTTACAAATCCATTGTACATAAATTTGCCAAGACATAATGATTTTCATTTTAGTGTGTTTTTTTCTTCGTTTTTTACTTTAGAAAATTTACATTTCTCACAGAATAACCTTCGGCTAATTTATATTGGTGGTTGTTAGGGCATCCCCAATGTATTGAATTTTATAGAGTTTAATAGATTGACACATCATCCATTAAACATTTATACAACACAACTCACAACCTATTAAACATCTATTCAATCCTAATCACCATTTTATTCTTTCTATTGAACCATTCATTGATCATTCAACTCTACTTCATGTCATCACTCACACTCCATTCAACTCTCATTCAATCCTAATCATCACCATACACTACTAGAAATTGAACTTTCAGCGACGGAATCAGCGACAGATTATATCCCTAGCTGAATTAGCGACGGATTTCCGATTGGTTTCCGACGGAAAGTATATTAAGTGAAAAATAATCAAATGCAGTTATTAGGTTGGGATCAACGACGGTTTATCGAGGGATTAGATAGGGAATGGCGAAGGAATTATCCCTCGCTAATGTTTTTTAGAAAATAACCCATAAATCGGTCGCTATTATATTTTCCCGCTTGCTTTTTCAGTTCTCTCTCAAAGGACAGTCTCACAAATTGATACCCCGCTCCCCAAACCATTTTCTAGGTTTTATTTGCCTCTCATTCACGAAAATGGCCCGCCTCCCACCTCTTCGTCTTCGCTTGGTCGCACACCTCCCACTCCGTTCTAGGGTTCAAAATGGGAGTGCATACCATCTTCATTCATTTCAGTCTCATATCTTCACGCCTTCCGCTCCTCTTCGTCGTATCTATGTCGCCCTCCGCCTTCTATCGTCATCACCATCACCGATTTAGCATCCACCAGCCTTCGAGCTGGCTGCCACCGCTCAGGAATTGGCCACATCATCGTCGTTGCCCTGCTCTCGCTGTCATTCTCCACCAGCTCACCCTCTATTGTCATCCCCCTCCACTCGGTTCTCTCTGCCTTCATTGAAGAAGGTAAACCCTAAATTTTTAGTATCAATATAAGAATTAAATCAAGTTATTAGGGTGCAAAACAGTGCCAAAAATATGCTTCTTTTTTCTAAAAGAGTCCTGAAATCGACCGATATTAAGGTGACTGACTTTAGCACCTTTGTTGTGCTTGTGTTCTTGCTTTTTGTAAAACATGCTGGACAAGTTTGTATTTTCATATATCTATAATTTGGTTAAAGATTTCATGTTGTAATTATTTTTTGTATTGATTGTGGTGGCTTACATTCGCAAATCTATAAGTGGTGTTGCTCGATGTTTGAGTTTGAGATGTCCCATTCCATCTTGTGTTGCTGATGTTTAAGTTTGAGATGTTGCAAATCTGTAAGTGATGTTACTTTCTGCACTAATGCAGAGGTGAACCCACATATCAAGAACAGGGGACGAAAATGGGGAAGAAAGGTAACAGGTAATAAAAACTATAAGCTACTGATTATAACTTATTCACTTATGAATAACTGAGATAATTAAACTCAATGCACACAGATACACAGGAAGGAACGGGGGACACAGAAGACAAAAATATATTAGAATAATACTTTTATTTTCAAAGGTAAAATGACTTAAAAACTTCAATCTACTTGAACCTATTTATACTAAACATAAAGGAAACCTAGTATAATATGGCTACTCGAAACAAATCCTAATCTAACACAAAAACTTAAAATAGAAAGGTTTTTCCCAAAATACCCCTGGACTTAAATTGTCCCATATTTTTGGATTAACACAACAAAGTAGAGGCTATGATGTAGCTTGATCTTGCTCATACAACTTTGTTGGAATGTGAGTATTATATATGAATCTTTATGTTAGAGCTTTGTTCATGTTGTGTGGTATTTAGAGTTAACATCCAATAGTCCATAGAGAGCAATTATCATTTGAGTATCTCACTATTTTGAATAATACCTAATGTGACCAGTAGAAATTTCGTTCCTTGTTTCAGGATCTAATTATAAGTGTAATTATGGACTCAAGCATTCATGTAGTGGACAATGGGAGAAAATGCATTCAAGGAAAGGTATCAAATAGTTTATGTATTTTAAGCAACCTTTTTAGATAAAGCTATATATATATATATATATATATATATATATATATATATATATATATATATATATATATATATATATATATAATATATATATATATAATGTTAATTGTCTCCACTTTCACCTACCATTAATCAGTATCTATCTTAGGCATCTCGTCAAGAAATTAGGGTATATTTTGTTATAATCTCTTCCTTCTTGTCATATTCAGTCATCATGACACCTGTTTATTGTATTTCTAAATTCATCACATGAAATGCAGCCACAAGGTGCATCTGAAAATGGATATTTGTGGAAAAGAGTGAACTCCTAGGCCAACCGTGTTCTTTAAGAGAAGCTTTGGCTCAAGCACAATCTTCTAGAACTGGAGCTTCAACACAAGCAGAGAATCTCTACATCCTGTTTTGAGGCAAACACTTGTATGTATTCTGAAATACATCTGGTACTTAGAAAAATTGTAGATTTCATTGACTGGTGTATTGATTTCTAGTTTCTTCAAGTAATTTCATTTGTGACTATCTTAATCCTTTGAAGGTGGTTATGATCCATTGGGACGAAGGTGGTTATGATCCATTGGGACGAACAAATGACCAAATAAGAACCTCATATCAAGTAAATTCTGCCATGGCTGCGTGCAAGGTCTTGAAGTTAGATGGTTTAGTCATTGTTGGAGGTATAATGAAACACAACTATCAACAATAATCTTTTTGTCAGATTATTTACTAACAACACTTGTTTGTTTCTCTAAAACATTAAAGAAATTATCCCTCAAAAAGGCCTACTTTTTTTAGGTTAATGCTGCTATTAGTCTCCAAATACTGGAAATAACAGAGAAATTCAACAAAACTGCAGCATCACATAGTATTGCAACTGATTATGGTAAGTTGGAAGTTTACTTTTTTTTTCTAAATTGTAATTCTTTAAGCACTTTAAAGTGTCAATTCTTTTATTCTTGCAGATGTGACTTCTATTTTCAGAAGGGTAGTATGATTCAAAAAGGCTTTATGAGAGCTTGTGTTAAATGTAGGTTATGATGGATTATTACATCTACAGAAACAACATAAACAATCAGTTGTAAGACACTTTCATTCTGCTTCTTTACACTACTTTATCTTTTTTTTTTTAAAATTTATTTCACTTTCATTTTTTCATATACTGAATTGGTCTATGCATATGTAGATTTGAGAGAACTTCATTTACATGTAAAAAAATAGTTGAGTTGACTAGTTGATAACTCTATTTACATGTAATCTACTAATCAAAATTTATGTCCTATTTTTAAACAACAAAAGAATGCAAAACAATTAATTTATGTCCTATTTTTTTTATTTTTTAGGGCCTGAAAGATTTGATATTTTGCATGGACATTCAAAAGCTACCATGCTTTTGATTATAAACTAGGCGAATGCCTGCGCGTTGCACAGAAACACCTATATGGTTGAAATCTTTACAAATATATGTTCTTTTAAATATAACAATAACGTTGTTGTTAAATTTGATATAATAATTCATATACTAAATTGATATAATATATTGATTATTTTGAATTATATGATAATATATACATATATTATAACTTCATAATCTCTATTTTTTGAATGTCTTCTACCCGCGAGTTACACATGAATAAAATTAAATATAATATATGGTTTAATGTTATTTAAAGTTGTTGTTATTTTTAATTAATTTTTCAAAATTAATTTTCTTAATCTTTTAATTTCTATCATTATAATTATTTAAAACATCAAACATTATTTTTTGATTTTAAAGGTAACAATATAATCATTTATATAGATTTATTTTTAACTATTGTTATTGTAAGTTATTTTAAGCTACTTATTTGAAAACTTTTAACGATTATAAAAATATCTTTAGGAAATATTTTAGTTAAATTGATATTACAATTTAGTTTTTGCATTTATCACTACAATTTATCAATTTTAACTATCTACAAAATATTCTTTGGTTTTTTAAATGGAACTGAAATTTATATTTAAGTTGACATTGTAATGCGCAGGAACACCTATATAGTTGAAGTCTTTACAAATATATGTTTTTTTAATATAACAATAACGTTGTTGTTAAATTTGATATAATAATTAATGTACTAAATTGATATAATATAGTGATTATTTTGAATTATATGATAATATATACATCTATTATAACTTGATAATCTCAATCGTTTGAATGACTTCTACCCGCGAGTTACACATAAATCAAATTAAATATAATATATAGTTTAATGCTATTTATAGTTGTTGTTATTGTTAATTAATTTTTTAAAATTTATTTGCTTAATGTTATAATTTTCTATCATTATAATTATTTAGAAAACCACACATTATTTTTTGATTTTAAAAATAACAATATAATCATTTATATATTGTTATTTTTAACTATTGTTATTGTAAGTTATTTTAAGCTACTTATTTGAAAACTTTTAACGATTATAAAAATATCTTTAGGAAATATTTTAGTTAAATTAAGATTACAATTTAGTTTTTGCATTTATCACTACAATTTATCACTTTTAACTATTTACAAAATACTTTTTGGTTTTTTAAGTGGAACTGAAATTTATATTTAAGTTGACATTGTAATGTTATATTTAAGTTAACAATTTAAGTATTTTGTTCAACCTCTTAAAAAATTGTAGCTTTAAACTGATAATGGTTTACATATAACAACATATTAAATCTAATAAATTAAGTATAATATGTTAAAAGTTAATGACATAACTTTATAAGTAGAAGTAAAGATATTATTTTAAAATTGAAATTTAGTTTATTTATAATTACACTTTAGGTTTGATATTTATTTAACCTTATTAAGCAACTTATAATCATTATTAGAAAGACACCACAATTGATCACTTTTAACTATTTACAAAATATTTTTTGGGTTGTTTAAATTAAACTAAAATTTATATTTAAGTTGATCATGTAATGTTATATTTAAATTAATAATTTAAGTATTTTATACAAATTGTTCCAAAATTGTATCTTTAAAATGATAATGGCTTACATCCAACAATATATTAAAACTAATAAATTAAGTATTATATGTTAAAAGTTAAAAAATATAACTTTATAAGTATAACTAAAGATATTATTTTAATAATGAAATTTAGTTTATATATGATTACACTTTAGGTTTGATATTTATTTAACGTAATTAACCAAATTATAATTATTATTAGAAAAAAATTGAAAAGTCATGGGAGTTTCAAATGAATGTGGTGAAAGGAAAAATGCATGGGAGTTTCAAATTAATGTGATGTAAGGAAAAATGCTTCCTTTATAAGTATATAATGATAATGATAATGATAATGATAATGATAATGCAGGGCAGGGCAAGGAGTTTTATCCTCATTTTTCTTCAAATACGACTTATTTATTTTTTGTACAAAACCCCAAAATATAACTTATTTATTTTTTAGTTATAATATTATTTGTTTGTGTCATGCAGATACAATTTTAAAAAAATATTCATCAATTGTTGCAACAATCTTCACAGGCTTTGCATCAACTCCTTTGTTTGGTCATACTTTGACTATAAATTTCATGCTAGAAATTTCTATTGTTTTCATTTCAATGCACCAGGTAAATGGTTTGTGGATTCCGATGGAGTTGGAATTGGAGATTCCAATTCCTTTGGTAGATTCCATTTCTTTCATAAACATTCTACCAACTTTTGTTTCTTTTTCTATATCCAATTCTTTTCCCCTCTATCAAAAGTTAAGGATGAAGAAAAAAGAGTGTTGGAATTGGAACCTGTTAAAAGCAACAACAGGTACTACTCTTAAGTTAACAATATTTAAAAATTATATTTAATTCTATAAAGTATTTAATAAATTATATACTGATTTTGAGAACTTATGAATAATCTATGACAGGTCAAGAGACTTGAATTTCACTAATATGATAGCAAGTGCTAACAAGGAGGTGAAGATGCTTGTTTTTTATTAATAAATAATTTTGAGTACTTATATATAAAATCTTTAACACTTGTTTTTAATTTTTTTCAGGCTGTCATTGTGTAGATTCTGATGCAAGACAACCACTTCCACTTCTTCCTACTTAAGTCAACGGCTGACTTTTGAAATGAAAGAAGATAATTTGAATAAAAATGAGTTATTTCCAACTCCTCGAAATAATCGATGGTAGGTACTTTTTTTTAGTTTTGTAGAATAATCTTTCATGGATATAAACTTTATATAATGTGTGCATTTTTTTCCTATTTGTGAGGATTCAACTTTCAGAGTTCTTGGTGGTATAAAATTGTGTTGATAAAGGCGGTTGTATGCAATGAGAGAAGGGCACATGGAAAGACCTAGAGACCACAAAGGTTAGTTTTGTATCTTTTTTTTTGTTTTGTTTTTTTTATTTATAAAAATGCTAAATGTGTTGTTAATTTTGGTGTGGTAGATGGTCCGTAATATTCAACACAAATGTTCAAAAAATCAAATCTGAAGACCAATTGGCAAACACCGTATTTCCTTCCTCATTTACTTTTTGGTTAGGATCGGAATTCAATTCCATTCCTGTCCTGCATTTGCTTCCAACAAAGATCCCTTATCTAGAAAAAAACTGGAAGACATCAAAGTAAGTAGCACGTGGTCCTATATCCATGGGACTAAACTGGAATCGGAATCCAGTTCCATTCCAACCCTTCTTTTGGACGCAAGATATCAAGAATTGGAGAAGATGTATGTGGAAATGCAAAATATGAGATGAAATTAAGAATTATGGTACCTTATACTTTGAAATCAAAACTTAATCAATGTTAAACTTTGACAGATGCTTTTGGTATTTTAATGTTAATGTTTGGACTGTATAATTTTTGGATGTGTTTGGTATTTAATGTTAATGTTTGGTTTGAGATTTTATAATTATTGATGTTTTTGTCATTTTTGTTTTACATTAGTAACCAAAATAAAATATCATATTATATATCTGCGAGTGATTAGCTAGGGAAAGAAAAAAATCACATCCTAAATTTGCGAGGGATTAGCTACAGAATGAAAAAAAAAATCACATCTTAAATTTGTGAGGGATTAGCGACGAAAAAAAATAGAGTTTTGCAAGGGATTTGCGACGGAATATTGTATTACGTTTTGTGGCTGGTGTCCTAAATAACCATATTAAGTGACCAATTTGCGATGGACATTCCGTTGCTATAGCCGTTGCAAAAAAAACTGATCCGTCGCTAAACCCCTCGCTAAGTCATTAGCCACACTCTAATTGGCCATAGAGTAAATTTGTCGCTGATCTGTCGCAAACGCTCTTTAGCGACGGAATAGCGACGGACTCGTCCGTCTCTATAACCTATGTTTCTAGTAGTGATATTCAACTCTTATACTACTTGCATTGTGAATGCTCTTAAAAACATGTAGGCATAAATACCCTAGTGTAATATATCATATATCATAGTTTAATATATCTTTGTCTATTATTTTATCAAACTTTATCATCTCTTAATTATTACATTATTATTATATAATTACTTTATTATTTTAACTAATAATTATTATTTAAATGTTTTATTTCAAATTTATTATTTTTCTCACAGAATAAATAGAACAAGATAGATAATATTTTAACATTTTTTGTAAAAGTATAATATTTATATTTTTTCCCTTTATGTTAACTAGAAGGAATTCAGTTGCGTCGTTGGCGCTGGTTTGAATAATATTTGCAAACAGAAAGCTGGAAATAATTTTTTCAAAATGGCACTAAAAGTTATATAAACAGAATTTGTTTATGTTGCATTTATCCATGACATTCGATGAGAGTGAAAAAGAAAAAGAAAAAACATTTACTCATTAAACAATGAAAAATTAACAAAACACGAAGAACGGAATGGTGAATGCCATTCCATCTGGCAACAGAATGAATAATTCCATTCCTTCCTTGATTCTTTGATTCAGGAATCTCAAGCAATTTGTTCATGCGAGCTAGTATAGCCTCCATTGTGAACTGCAAACATAAAAAATCACATTTTTTTTACTGCTTTTCACTATTATTTTTGCATTAATTAAACTCAACAGATAAGATAACTTTCTTTTTGGAATTTTTTGTAGGAGCAGATTGACCACAAACTTACAATAATAATTGGACCAATGGTCAAATCTTGAAGCTTCCTCCTTGCAGCAAGGTCGATGAATTTAACATAAGAGTGATGTTTTGCTCCAGTTCTACAAATAATCAGTATAAATAAAACTCATTTTTTTCAATTCACAAATTACCCTTTTTTAAGACTGATTCAAGAACATTTACTTAATTCGTATTATTGTCTATAGCGACTGTCTTTTAGATATGGGTTAAATGCAAAAGATAGCAATCTACTTTTGTTGGTCAGTTTAATGTAACATGATTAACATCGTATTTTCATATCTACCTATTACGACATTATACTCTTAGAAATCTACCAATTATAGCAACGACACTCATATACAAAGCAATTTTCATAGTTACGTGTGATGTGGGTAATGTTTTCAAGTATAATGTCCTAATAAGGAAAACAAAAATAAAACTATGGTGCTATATTTGGGTAGATAACATATTTTTTATTTAAAATTTGTTAATAAGATTTTTTTAAATTTGAATGTTGCAAAAGAAATAAATAAAAGTGAGAGCATATGGCAGCTAACCTCATGCATCAGAAGCACAATTTCATCAAGACGACTCAAACGCTCCAATACCTAAAATTAGTGTACAAAAAACAAAAAATATGATAAAAAAAATAGTGATTAATACTATCAGGTATTGATGATTTGTAGAGTAAAATATAAAAATGGTGGGTATGCTTTTTTCTTTATATTGTGTAGTCATTTTTTTTTTCTGGTCCTTATTTCAAAGTTTTCCTTGGACGGGCTGATTTAGGTTTGCATTTCAAGGTTACATATCAATTTTGTCCCATGTTTGAAGATTTCTGACACAAAAATGATATGGAAGTCCAAAATAAGGATTACATTTGAAAAAGTTTTCAATGTTGGACTAAAATACATTAAAATTCAGAAAGTAAGAGTACATTATAACTTACTCCAATCTATATAAAACATCTCCCTTCATTATAGCTTGAACCAAAGATGACATGGATGATTGAACGTGGTTTTAATTGATACTGAAAAACAGAAAAAATTACCATAATCTTTTTCACAAATTTCGATGTCGTAAACTACCCATATGAATTAAAGGGGAAGCATAGTAACTGTTACTTGAAGAAAGTGAGTGAATTGAAACAACATCTGGAACTATATAGAGAGAAAGTAGAGACTTACAATGGGAAAATTAGAGTTGATTTTTTTGGATGAGTGGCAGGTAATATGTGGAGTAATGTGGCATATTATAATATGTGAGCCTAATAATAACCTGCAACACCAAAGTTGTTGTAAATATGCAATATCACAATAAGGTTAATACCAATCAAAAAAATCTTAGAACAGAATGAATATATGTCTTAAACTCACAAACAATTACCTTTTTGCCATGTTTCCAGAAGAAAAAAACTGACTTGTTTATCTTCACATTTGCACAAATCACCCATCAAACGAAATATCTTCAAGAACACATGTTAGTTACCATAAGAATCAGTCGGTGATATAAATAATCATATGTATCCATCAACAATCAACATACCCTGGTTCAAGCATTTCATCGACCAGTTGGGATGCATAGTGAAACTCTCCTTCAAATCTCCATATGAAGTGGGTTGCACGCCTAATCAACCAAAGAACTCCGCACTCAATCAATATACTGAAATCGAAACCTATATATAAGCAAGTAGAGCATCAATAAAATCAAAGTCAAAAAATTGACCTCATGGATGAAAGCTTGCATCTCAGGCTTCGATAGGTCAGAGCATAAAGCAACGCAAATCTACTTATCGGGATAACATGAAGGGATACCTGCTTCTTCTTTTCTGTTTCTGTTTGGAATCGATTGTTTGAGATACAAAACGGATAAGTCTAATAGGAATTTCAGTTTGATCAAAAACGTTGGAAGCTATGGAAAATTGGAATCCCTGGAAGAAGATGGTTGGAATCAAAAACCCACAAGCACCAATTGAAAGCATGGAATCAAAAACCCACAACCACCAATAGAAACTATCGATTCAGAATAGGCTTTGGAGACGAAGTTCCTTCAGCGGACTATATGCTAATCGAAGCTCAGAACGATATAGTCAGATTTCAAACACCTGATTTTGTTATTGGGTAAGAGAGAGGTAGTGAAGCGGCAATCTGAATGGCGGTCGTCCAGATTTTGTAGAGTGATGAAAAGCGAAATTAGACGGACGGAAGTAAGAAGGGATTGAGAACAAATAGAGATAAAAGGAAAGCAGGAGAAGACATCCCATTGGAAGGCGACGAAGGTGAGTCCAAAAAAAGGCGGTGGGATAAGCTGAATTAAAATAAGGGCGTCGCCGCCGTCGGCAACCTGATGCAAACTATGACCAGCCAATTGAAGGGTTTCGAGGGAGAGAGACGTAAGGAAGAGTGAAGAAGAAAGAAAGAGGAAGTAAGGAAATGCGAACGAAAGAGTATTGGAGGAGGAGGGCGGCGACGTGGAAATCGGAAACAACGAATAAAATAATGAAAGCCGATAAGAACGGAAGAGAAGAATCTGAAAAGGAAAGTATTATCGTGGCCTGAAATTGAAAAAAAAAAAAAAAAAAGGTCCGTGGCAAAAACAGGAAAGAGAAAAAAGTATACTGCTCCCCAACTTTTTAAGTTTTTATGTATATATAAATAAAAATAATTATTATATATATATATATATATATATATATATATATATATATATATATATATTAAATCTCATCCCAGCTTATGAACAATACCATTCATAAACTCATTTCAAATTTTTAGTTGCGGCTGATTTGGCTTACCACCTTCTTCTTCCAATCGATCAGTATTGGCAGATGACTTATCTTTCCCGCTTGCATCTCTAATTTACCACATGTATCACCCTCCATCAAACCTCATCGATTCCTTACACAAGCATCTCTTCGATTTAGCCCTCTCTTCACCACATTGTCTTTGGCATCTGTGATGGAGTTGGTGAGGCCGACGGAATCGGTGTGATGTTGATCGAATTTCACAATCGTAAAATTTCTAAATCCCATGTATCGTCTCACTCTACCTAATCTACTTCTCACAACTTTCATCTTATTTTCTTCCATAGACTCAGGTGCTCTCTCTCCCATAAGCGACACTTTTAATCGGTGTCTTTGCTCTTGCCGACAACTGCTTCTTGTGTCTCTCGGCTCCATAGTCGAAGTTTAAAGTTATGCCTAAAATCAATCATGCCAGAGGACGAACGGCCTACGGCACCTCCTCTTATCTCCATCATTGTCCTCCAGTGACTTCCCCGTTTCCATTCCCGACTCCCCCAATTGTATGCTCCACCGCCAATCACTTTAGGTTAGGGTTAGGTTTGCTTTCGTTGTTACGTCATGGACGACGTTACAACAATGGCTCTTAGGTCAGTCCTTCATCACGTGAAACAAGCTGTTGAAAGGTTGTCTGGTGTGCCTGTTCGGATAAAAGTCGCCCATGTAAGTAAAACAAAATATGTATCACCCCTTCGGGAAGTCTACGACGTTGGACATGAAATTGTTGGAAAAACACCTCTGGTTATCATCTTCTTTCAATATTATATTATTTCTAACAATTTCAAAACTGTAAACATTTAGGGTTTTATTATTAGAGTACTAATTTGCCTTTATTAGGTAGTGATGAACACCGTAAAGCAAGATTTCTTATTAAATTTGTGGCTCTCTAAAGACATTGGTTGGCATGTTTTCATCTGACTATATCTTGCTTTCAACAACAATGAGTCGTTGAAAACTTTATCATGTTGATAAACAGAAGATGGATCGAAACATAGTTGAGTCAATCATATAGCTTCACCATTTAATAAAGTTTCTCACATTTTTATTTACTATTTTTGGGTCATGAATGGCAGATAAAGAGAGTCCATACATGGTTCCAAATTGGTTTTTTTATCTTTTCTTCCATTCTTCCGAACAATAATTTCACAGTATAAAATTGAGTATGCATATAGTACAACTAATTTGAATCCTTTACTTTGTATTTTCTCATTTAACAAATTAAACAATTTTTTTTCAAATTGTTTATTTATTTATTT